GCTGCTATTCCGTTGGCTTTATGTAAATTAATGGGGAGATCACGATTTGTGCTAAGGTTAGGATTAACATTGGGGTAAGACATATATTTAGTGTTGGTGTTAAGGCAGAGGGCATGCCCACCGGTATCATAAGCAAGCATTTTTTACCTTTTCTTGCCGCTAAACCTGACACTACTCATACAGCCATCGCCTTGGATTCGCCAGTCACATAAAATAGGTGGGCTAATTCATGAAATGTCAATCGAAATTCCGAAATGCGTTTTTGTTTCAAAAATATTAATTAAGTAGGATTGTAAAACTGAACAGCCTGCAGCAATTTTTTATAATGATTTAGTTACCTCAGGATGTCGGGTTTTTAAAGAACAGTTTTGGCTGTATTTGAGGACCAATCTGTGCAAAAAATGACGTCTTATGAAGTATAAATTGTTCTCACTGGTTTTGATGCACTATGAGTGCAATTATATTTCCACAAAAAAGTGCATAAAAATATTCACTCCTTAGCTCATTCAGTTGAAAATTACGTCTTTTTCCAATGTTGTTCTCAAAGGAGGGGTATAGTTCAGTTTTACGATTTTTTTACATGTGAGATCTTTTAATACCTTGAAATGGACATTCATAAAACGTCATGTCTCTACATTAGGCAATGTGGCTTGTAAAGTTAACAATACGGATCCAATCCACTGCTAAATTTTGTGAACTCCACATGGTCTACTCTTAATGTCGTAGAGTAATCTGTGGTTTTGCATACGCTGAAAATATACGGTTTGTCGGTTGGCAACTTTGAATACAACTGTAATGGCAGAGCGGGTTCGAAGATAATCGCGAATCGGAAACGTTCTTGAAAATCGAATCATAGCTTTCCTTTGTATAAAACATTAGAAGGAAACGTAATTTTCTACCGAATGAGCGAAGAAATGAATATTTCTGTGCATGCTTTCCATGAGTTATAGCTGCATTTTTGAGGGCATAGAAAATCAATGCGAAAATTTTAATGCTACATAAGTAGTCATGTTACTGTTAAGGCTCTTTTGTTTGGTTGTAATTTGTCTTGTTTTAATTAATTTTATGTGGATACATCTTGATCCGGTAGAGGATACGGGAGGATATTTAGTGGTATTTTGTGATTTCCCACGCTATGATTCGTTCTGTTGAGTCCAAGACAGGTGAGTTGGCGTTACTGGAGAGTGCCTTGTTTTAACGTAGGTTCTTATGTTGAGAGGGTCTAGTTACTTTTTGCTTCTCGGCAAGCTGTATTTTAAATGTTTACGTGTCCTTTTTAGGTTGCTGTATTTGAGAACGTGTCAGGCAAAATATCTTTAATTGATTGGGTGACAGTGTTTTACGATAAAAGCGGTGGTTTTATATTTTCATGTAAGTCGTTTTAGTCTGGCTATGCTCAGGTTGGTGGAGTATATTCTTGAGCCAAATGTTTTTATTAATATTTTTACTCATTTGTTATGGCAGCTTTAGGTATAATCATATCTATGACTAGCTTTTTGAGATGCTTAACTAATTTTGAGAAAATCACAATGTTGATCTCCCCATTTATTCTGTAGTTGGACAGTAAAATGTAATTTGACAGAAAAACCTGCAAAATTTACATCATGACACTTTTAGAATAATTCGCATCCTTTACATATGAAAAGACTTTAAAGACAACCCAGACAGCGCTTTTCCCAAAACAGTTATGCAGAAAATGGATGCGAATTACTCTCCTAAATGTATAACTGGGATAGAATAAGAAGTGCCTTGCAGGATGACCATTACTGATGAAGTAAAATATTTATTTTTGAACCTGCAAAACCTCTGCTTACCTGCGGCACACAAATGCGTTTTATGAATTTGTGGGGTTTTGCTTAAACCTGTTCAACTTAGAGTTGCTTGCGTCCAACAGGTGCCAACGTGTGCAGTCCTTTCCATCGTCCTCCAGAGAAGGCCAACCAGCTCCGCCTTAACATGCTTGACCTCTGTCCTCTACAAAGTGGCGTTTGGTGACTTCCGGAGCGTTTTCTAACAAAAGCTAATGGGGTTTTCGCACGCAATCTGTGTGCCTTCTCTTGCTCGCGAAATACTCCTACATATAAGAAAATCATACTTATGACTGAGGACTGAAATACGATACCGGAAGTACTGCAGGCCTCTTAAAAACAAATTAGTGGGCCATTTTTGTCTATCATCATTTAGTCGACTTATAGTGAGACTGCGTTGCAGAAAAAATATGTGTATGTTTACTGTCTCCCACCTAAAAATTAACATCCATTTGACGTTCTATAGTTTTTAAGGAGTTCACAAAGATGGCGGTAGACCAGACGTGACAAATGCACCACAGCCGTTACCGATCATCAACACGTCATAGGCCATATGAAGTAAGGTATATAAGTATGTCAGGCAAGCATGTGGCCCTTATTGTTGTGGTTATGATCTCACTCGATCCCACCCTGTATGCCCGCCAGCTTGCTACTGACATAAGCAGGTCACTAAGAGTGCAAAAGATCAGACACAGACAGCTGTCTCAAGGTCGTTGCCGATCATCTACACGCCATTCGCCTTTTGTACATTTAATGAACTGCTTAGTTATTATATGTGGTATGTTTCTTATGACAAAGTGTTCGTGTTGTTGTTCGCAGTCTGTGTGCCTTGTCTTGCTCGCGAAATACTCCTGCATATAAGAAAACAAAAGCGATATCAGAAGTTTTGCAGACCTTTTAAAAACAAATAGATGGGGGATTTTTTCTATAATTATTTAGTCGACTTATAGTGGGACTGCGTTGCATAGAAGAATGTGTGCATGTTTATTGTCTCGCACTTAGACATCAACAACCATTATGATCTCACTCGATCTCACAATGTATGCCCGCCAGCTTGCTTCTGGCGACAACGAGCGTTATGACCTAGGACACATACTACATACATATTATGCATAAGCAGGTCACTAAGAATGCAAAAGATCAGGCACAAATAGCTGTCTCAAGGTCGTTGCCGATCATCTACACGTCACTCGGCCTTTTGTACTCTTATGAACTGCTTTTGTATTATATGTGGTATGTTTTTTTATGACATAAAGTTCGTTGTCACCAGTAGCAAGCTAGAGGTTAGACAGAATGGGATCGTTTGCGATCCTAATTACAACAGTAAGGGTCATCCGCCGCTGTGCGGCTGCTTGTTGAGCTCGAGAGAGGGTCCATAAGTTACAACTGAACGACTGAGTTCCGTAAGAACGATCGGTGAGCGTCCCCTAGCATTTTTTATTCCCGATCAAAAAGCGACAGAGCAACGGGCACATGGCTCAGTGGTTAGAGGCGTGGACTTCTAACAAACAGATCGAGAGTTCGAGCTTTGGGTGTGCCACACTCCGGGGTTGGGTA